CCCTTCGCGTTGGGAACGCTAAAACGATTATTTCCAAATTGTCCGCCTCCAGGAGATGCACAACGCTGATTTCTTGAATCTCCTAAAAAATATCGATGATCAGGAAATCCATAGTCGAATAATTGAGATGTGAAAACTTTTTAGATGCAAAAGAAGATTTGAAGTGAAAAGGAGGCTTTGGGATTTAGACGTTTCCAAAGAATATACTGTTCTTACGAATGTTCACTGCTTACAATCCAAAAGCTCAATTTGAAAAAGAACTCTGATTGAAAAAAGTCTTACCCATATAATTCTGGTTCTGCATCCGCCCATAATTTACTGCATTGCCATAAGCACGGTGATCTTCCATCTAAATGTTGAGTTATCAATACCGGCAAAAAGAAAGGCGTGATACGCTATTTTTACTGTTTAAGCAACCATCGCACACGCTCAGTACTATCTTCCTAAGATCTAGTCCTATGGCTTACATCCTCTTCCATTTCTCTTCTCATTGAATTTGAGATGACACTACTTCGCTCCGGTGATGAACGATTAGAATGTGTTCTTCCAGCCAAAGAGTTAAAAGGTGCTCCAGCAACCCAAAAACGCCCAAGTTGAGGCCAGAGGTGTCAGATACCACAGATAACTAACCGTTTCTATATCAGGCCGACGAGCTTTCTGAATTATCCTCACGATGCCATCTGCAAAAATAAGCATAGAGTACGAACGATAGCCTGGCTACATAAATGAAAAAATAGAACACAACACTCATGGCGATGAGGAATTGGTTCGTTACCAACAGATTCAAAACCTACCTGCATTCAAAGCGCTCAGCGAAAATGTTTCCGAATGAGCCTTCACCGCCATACCGACCTTTGCTGTCGCTGTCATGCCATCATTTTTCTCAGGCAATTTGTCAGCAATTCTATTGGCAATCTCTCTCACTGTCATGCGGTTTACGGGTGTTTTCAGTAGGTCGTATATCTGAGACTCAAGGTTCAGAAATGATATAGGAAGAAAATCAGGAAGTCACAAACCTTTTGGGCTATGTCTAAATTGCAAGACTGTGTCTTTGTAAGCTCCCTACCACCAAGATTCTGTAAAAGAAGTTGCCAGATACCCATAAACCAGCTCGAAGTACCAGAAGAGTCCGAATAAGTAATTTCTATTAGTATTTTTTAGTAAATGGTCAAGGTACAGTTGTTTCCTCAA